AAGCCTAGTAGTCACATTGAACTGGCTTAAAATCCCCGGAGCTCTACACAAAACTGAACCTGTGTCGCCAGCCATGACGAATTGACCTGTTTGAGCGCAGAGCGCAAAGAGATGAAAGCAAAACTGAACGGTGACGCCAACCAAAAAATTGACATCATTTGGCGCAGAGCTCTCCGTGTGTCAAAGACTGACGGAGAGTTGAGCGAGCAGTCCTGTGCAGAGTTGCGTGACGAAGTCTTTATTTGTGACACAGTACTGGCTGTATATCGCCTACTACTCACAGAGCTCTATAGAAAACTGAACCCGTGACGCCAACCAAGAATTGACTTGTTAGGGCGCAGAGCTCTCCGTGTTGCGCAGAGTTGAGTGACGAAGTCTTTATTTGTGACACAGTACTGGCTGTATATCGCCTACTACTCACATTGAATTGACTTGATATCTACAGAGCTCCATAGAAAACTGAACACGTGATGCCAACCAACGAATTGGCTTGTTTTGGCGCAGAGCTCTGCGGGGGTATCGCGGAGGGCTGCACGAGCAACCTCCATGGAGGAGCTCTGCAGAGCTGAGGGCTGCACGAGCAACCTCCATGGAGGAGCTCTGCAGAGCTCCTCCATGGAGGTTGCTCGTGCAGCCCCTATTGACCAACCAGCCCTTCTGGAACGTACAGGCGAACGCAAAGTATGAACTGGAGGCCGAGGGAGGGGACGCCGAAAAAGGTATCTAAATTTGAACTTGTCAAATGTGCATGTTTATAGCAGTAGTCTCAGGTATAGCCTATAGCCTGAGTGTCAGCCTTGTTAGCGCGCTTTCGTCCGCTCCCCAACTTGCAAGATCCACTCCCCGTCAACGCGGGAGCGGACGAAAGCTAACAAGGCTAACACTCAAGCTAGGCATAGCTCAGTTAAGGATAGCTATCTGATAAGTCATCTTAACATGAAATTCTTGGCGTCTTCTAAATTCATGTGGTGGGTAACATGCACCTATAGCTAGGTCATTTAAATAACCTACTCTTACAATACGATATTACCTGTCACCTGTTACGATGTCACCTACCAAGTCGACTCGTAGCCAACACAACTTTGGAGAGTCTTTGGAGGTTGGGGAACCTGGACTGGTGCCGCTGTGGAAACTGCCTAGAAATGACAACAAACACAGTCTCCCGTACAGAGGGCATTTCCAGGCAGTTTTCACAGCGGCACCAGTCCGGTTCCCCAACCTCCGACCCTCCGGTGACGTAACAGGTCCAGTCGCAGCGCCGCCTAGCGGACAATCGGGCGCTAGCAGGGGAACATCGAGCATGTCAGATATCACCGCAAGTATGTGCGGGGTTGGCAGAAACCAATAAATCACCATTTACAAATAGGATTTTGGGTGGAAAGGCCCCAAAACTGAAAGTATTGGATTTGTCCTTTAACTTATTTTCATTCCTGACAGATCTGTACATGCATGTGGAGATGGCACAGAGGCCCGTTGTGAAGTCTGGCGACGTGCAGCGGGCCCTGATTTGCTCTGGCGCCGCGTGTTGGTCCGACCCTCTCAACGCCGACACTATTAAAAAGTTTCTTGAGGGTACCGGTGTTCGGGACGGGCACGACTTTGTGGAGGTCAACGTCAAACGTGAACGGAATGTCTCCGACGGAGGCCGGGAGGTGAGGTACCTCGTGGCTGAAACTCGCAACAGAGAAGAAGTGTTCGTTGCATTCAAAGGTAAGACATTACCTCAGACAACATGTTTGGCATGCATGTCCATACAATGTCAAGCAGCCTCAGATATCTGACTGGCTGACGAGGGGGCAGAGAGATTCCAATTGAGCATGTTCTTTGTGGAGTTCGTCGCTCTCTCCGCGCTCTGGCCAATTTCAGGTCGCCGAGAGAGCGCCGCGAGAGCGTCAATAAGTGGAATGGGGGCCTAAACAGTACCATATCTCCAGTGTAATATCTACACTATCCTGTATATAATGAGCAGGAACTACATACTAAAGTTAGAGTATGAATTCACAGGAGACATTGTATTCTTCACAACTGTTTGTGTCTGAGCAATGATACTCGAGGCATAAGCAAGACATGCCAGGAAGTTTATTCCTTCATTTGTCAGTGACTACAATTTAATAAACCATGTCACGGCACCAACTTTTATACTACATGTATCACAGGTACAACGGAATTCAAAGACGTCATGGACAGTCTGAGTATCTGGCAGGAGGGAGGGGGTCAAAGCCGCGACAATCATGACGTTGGGGTTGGCGGGAAATACCACAAAGGCTTCAAAGAACTGGCCTTCCTCGTCCCCGCCCAAAGCATCCTGGAGAAATACAGCGACAGCCGCATTGTCGTCTGCGGTCACAGCCTAGGGGGCGCTGTGGCACACATCGTCGCCTTGAACATGATGGCGTGCCTACTCAAAGAGGGTAAAAAACAGCAACTCGACAAAGTCACGTCCATCACGTTCGGCGCTCCGTACTTCGGAAACGACGGCGCCCAGCAGTTTGCGGAGAAACACAACTTCTCTCCTCGCCTGTTGACGATCGTGAACGAGGAAGACCCCGTGCCGTACATTCTCCGCCTAGCGGAAACCATCCAATGTGCAGGGCAAACAGTGTTGAAGAAAGTTAAGACTTTCTCTGACACAGCGAAGCCCATCGTGTTGGGTATTTTGGATCTCCTCAGCGCCGTCGGTATGTCAAATGAGAAGACTTCAGAAGGTGCCAAAGATAACTTTTCGAAACTGTCAGATAAGCTTGACGAATGCAAGAGTAAGCTGCGAGAATGGGGCCTGACCGCGAAGGACCTGGATTCCCTCTACGTGCCATTGGGGTGGTACCTGTGTATCAGGAGCAGTAAGCCCGAGGCCGGTGAGGGCGCTGTTTGGAAGCGCACCCTCTGGACCAACCCAGGCCAGCACATCTCACCAGACATCCGAGATTGGAAAGGTAATATACTATCAAATTACAAACAAAGAGTAAAATGTTTACATAGCACACTTGAGTTCCACGATATCATACCTTCAAAAATTATATTAACCTTTACGACTACGCTCACTTGGTGGTTTAGTCGGAGTCGGTGGTTATCGCACCTGACCAGGGATTATCTCACCATATACACCTCGGGGCGGGGCATTAACCCTTTATTAATGGAGAAGTATATGACAATATATAGTGAGTTATAAATGCTACTACTGTAAATGAATCAGATATGGACCAATGAAAGCCTAAAAATGTCATTTGACTTGTCTTCATTTGACTTGTCTCTTCCCTTCAGAGGAGGACTTCCAGAGCCACAGCTTGGCACATTATCTCATGGCGTTCTATGAAGTCACGGACAAGAAGGAATACCAAGTTGAGGGTAGAGTTGAGGTCACGGCACACTTTGAAGAGGTGAGGTTCTCAGTTTACACCTAGGAAAGAGGATTTCGCTGTTGAGCAGTTAAAATACTTCAAAACACAGCAGAAACTTGGTGGTTTAGATGTACATTGGCTATTATCAAGAGTAAATATACGAAGGTGTCCTTTAGTCTTTCAGCAGAGAAAAATTGTCCAAATCAAATAAACGGCGATAATGTAATCTTAAGTATTGATAACAGCATTACATTACTCTTGAGGAGATGAACAAGACTGGAGGACAAAAGGCCATGGCGCTGTGACCAGTACAGTGAAGCAGGACTTCTCAGGACTTTTAAACAGATCATTAGGAGCAGGACTTCTCAGGACTTTTATACAGAGCATAGAGCATTAGGTGCAGGACTTGACACTGTTGATGTTTAGGATGTTGTAATTAGTAATAGTTTATGTACTGTGTATTTGTTGTGTGTAAATTTATGTGCATCCAGGATTACCTGAAAAGCAGGCCAGAATGGCCAAAGATGTAATTACTGGCTAAATAAATAAATTGAAATTGAAGTGACTGTCTTTACTTTTCACAGGAAAAGGCTGGAGACCCGACCCTCGTGGACATGCTTTATGGCGCAGCGTCAATGCTGACCTGGCCATTAACAGCAGCGTGGAACAAGTTAAGTCCTAAAAAGTAAAAAGCTTTTACAGACGTTGTATAATAAGCAATCGGTAGTCGCCATAGTCTTTGTAACACTGCAGCTACTGTATGTGGTTATGTGTGTTCGTTTGTGTGTGTGTGTATGTGTGTGTTTGCGTGTAATTGTGTATATGTGTGAAATCTCATTAATAAATCTTGATTAAAATTGTAAGATATCTTTGTTTTGCAACGCAGCATTTACAATGAATCAATATGGTACCTTTGTTGTGTTAAATATTGAATGACATCTTGGGTATCAAAATGTACATATGTATATACTTTGTTAGAAATTAATATTGTGAGATACAAATCATGTAAATAATGTGTTATTCCATTCCATTACAATGATGTTGAGGAGTTTCCCCTTTTGTGTTTGAGCTATGACCAAAGCTATGACCTTGGCAGTAGTCTAAAAGTCAAATATCCATGATGATTAGTTGATGGAGGTATGAATCTAGGAACTTTTGAGTAGCCAGTAGAGATAACTATTATTCCTAAATTCAAAGAGAAATATGATGTAAATTCGTGAAATACCATGATATGTATACTCTGCACTCCTGTATCATGATATAGAAAGATAAGCATTGCACGCAAAGACATGTCATTTAGTGATAGTTTAGTAGACCGTTATCATAGAAAGAGATTAGTTGAACATTGTCATTGTACAAAGATTCTAGACTTGCCCATCGATACTTAACGGTAATAAGGTGCACAAACTATGTACTAATATGTTTTTTTGCTTCTGTGCCATGATGTTGATAGTGTTTTGAGAGCTGGATATTCTGCATATGCATTTGCTTGCAAATATCATTGCTGTATATGATAGCTGCATATGCTGTAATTGCAACACATTCTGTAAAGGACGTTTGTGTGGTAATTATCGGTTAATTAGTGTTGATGTTTTATCTTAAGACATAATTATATACATAATTGACACAAATCATGTCAAAAAACATTGTAATATTATAATGTACACTTAAATACATTCTCACCACTCTAATTCGCGGTTATCCATGAAATTGGGAGCTTTTGGAATATTAGGATGTAGATCATCGACTTTGTAGAATGACTTGATCAACAGCTATATATACCGCGGTGAGAACCAAATTTGTACGTATTGCATATAACTAACTCTGTGTGTTGTGTGAACATTTTGAAGTCTTCGTAGTTTTGTTAACCTGCATTTTTTTCACAGAGTGTGTGATTTAAATAAATAAAAACAAACCATGTTCTGCCTCGTTTATTCATAACCTTAACATTTGCTCACAACCACAATTTTCCATTGAAACACGCCGTTATAATTAAGGCGGCCTATGCTAGAGATTAATTTTGATCTTACTTCCAGGGAAGTAGGGAGGGTCAAAATTAAAGTGGTAGATATTGTTAATATTCATTCAAAGCATTACTTGTAAGTGTGTATTACCCGTGAAAAATGAAGAAAAGAAGTATTATCTAATTTTACCAAGACAGTGGAAAGTTTGACAGAGCATCTCTTAGAAATATATTTACAAGACACATAACTAGTGAAAACCCAAAACGTAGGTGTTTAGGAACAAACTAGCATACGAAATACGCCACATAAATAATACTGTAAACAGTTTCAAATAGAGTTGCAGCTAAAGTCGCTATTTGGTTACAATTTACCTTGACTGATAATCTGAGCCCAAATCCTTCTCTAAAAAATAATTTCGACAGCGTTTGTTGCTGACACTGGCGGTCCCGTATATATGTCAGGGGGGAGACTGCAATCTGGTAGAACCTGCAATTCTACTGGTAGAAATCCCGATCAGAGTAGGTAAATTTTAGGACGTTCGCTTACATAACTTTTCAATTCTGATCCATGTCACTTTAGGATTGACTTAAAACCCTAACACATTAACAGTATCCTGATTGGAGTTTCTGTCGACAAAGACTCCAACCGGGATTTCTGCAGACGATTCTACCAGATCCGTGTCTCTACCCTGACATACACATACTAGCACTATAGCTAGTCCGAATCGTCCAGGACCAGAGCTTGCGCGTGCATCCGTCTGAGGGAGTTCATCCTCGCCAGCTGCATCTGCGCCTCCAGATGTTTCTGTGTCTGTTTCCTGCTGAACCTGCGCCACTCCTTCTGGTCCATCTCTACACTCGAGCTACTCGAAGACGACGAAGATGAAGATGATGATGAAGAGGAGGAGGAGGAGGAGGATGAAGAATCAGAGTCTGAAGACGAGCCTGAGCTGGATGTGTCATCATCGTCTTCCGTCTTCGAGCTGATGGGATGATACGAAGACAAGGGTTAAGAGACCATCTTTCGGCATGAAGGTACGAATCATTGAGTTATGATTGGGCCTAGGAAACAATGTAGTTGTGATTCAGATATCAGTCTTGAGGTGATCCAATAAATGCAGTTTAACAATGCAAAACTAAGAAATAAATACATAACAATGCAAAACTGAAATGCATCAGGGTCAGGACTGTCTCTAGGATCCGTCATTCCGTTTGTTTGAGGGAAGGGAACATATTTATTTCACCCGATTTACTATAGAAAAATTGATCCTCTGAAAATGCGTGAAATAACGTTTCAGGGGGTTTGAAATGCTGATGTCAGATCAAAAATTTTAAGCCGTTGTCAGCGTTCTACCCGAAATGTAGGCTAGGGTAGGTATTTATTACTTTTGCTAGGATGTGTTGGGTATGTAGCCAGAATGGTAGATGATGGATGATGAAGGTCCTCCAATGTCATGGTGATTTGTAGCCGTCGAGCCCTCATGACATTTTCTGCGACATGCTCAAAATACAAGTAGGTCATGTCACCGTGTCATCGACATTTAATGTATGTTATTATATATATGTTATTAATAGCCATTGCACATTATGAATAACCCGGTCACACACGTCATACGATCGCAAACTGACGACATTCTTCGGACAATTAAAATTTGCTGTCTGGCAAAAACGTTCTAAGATCCTGTCGACGGTTGATTCTCGTCACAGCCTGCTTCAAGTTCTACAGCATCAAAATTGTACCATGACGAATGGGACCACGCCGTAATATTATTTTACAGCAATTACAACGTAGTTTGTGGATAAAACAGATTCCGTTCATCACTGATGAAAAGGAGTGGATGTTACTTGAAACGTCTGGCAGTTTTCAAAATCTATCCAGTTTCCGGTCGGAGTAGTTGTTGAATGAATGAATTTATTGTACGTTTGTGCTCTTACAAGCTAAGTACAGGTCATGAATAAACAGGGGAAAGAATACAACACTTAAACTATACATACTAATGTGATCTACTATTTCTTCTCGCTTCTTGATGGAGTTGTAGATGTACGAGCATATGGAGCTAATGATGCATGGTTTGTCAAGTTGTTTTCTTACCCTGTGAAGTCCTGTACGATAAAGACGATGACTAGGATCAGACAGCCGACGATGGCCAGTCCGAGCAGCACGGACAGTAGGATGACCCAGCCCTGGATGTTCACTACGTACACTTGCGACAGGCTGAACAACGGCAGGGCTTCTGCAGGGATCCGGAATTTAGTCGTGTCAGCAAATTTAGTTATCTGAGAAATGTTATCAGTATATTTCAATCTAAATGTGTCACTATAGCCAACTACGCGATTATGATCATGACTTCATCCAGAACGGTCGACAATTTCACTTTTCACTATCATGATATGCTAAAACTAACATTTTACAAAGAAGCAATGCTTCAGTAACATAAAACATCTCGAAAACGTCTGTTAAATACATGCATTTGATAACACACCAAACAATATTTATGACACAATATAAAAACATCCCTTGATCTTTACAACATCTGTAGATAAAAAGCTATTTCAATGTTGGATAGATCGATATTCATTTAAAAACAACATCATCAAGATGATGCCACTATACTAAAAACTATTACCTGCTTCCGGAGAGAGCGAGGGGAGGGGAGTCGCGGTAGCAGACATGTCAGTCGTGACTGCATCTATGATGTCCTCCTTTCAACAGCCTTAGTCCACAGACATGTGCCTTTACCGCCGTCATACAGAGACTAAACAGTCACTAAACTCAGATTTCCTGTACACCATTCACTAAAGACTATAGAGTGATTACAGGATGTACATATGGAAGAATAATCTAGCAGAGATTCAGACGATAGCGCTCTCATGGGAGCAATGATATGTCATCAGTGTCTTCTCTCCAACCGGCGATCTTTGTGTAAAGGTTAAGGTGAATAGATCGTTAGTTGTCACGCAATGAGCCCAAAGATGAACCTTGATTCAGGTCACTGTCATGTCAGAGGACTTTAGAAAGATAAGGAGAACCATTTTTTCCTTGAAGATAATTTGTACGGTATTTGCTCTAAGGTGACAGGACGTCGTGTAGCCCGTATGTTGATTTATTTGTCTAACCATGACCTTTTCCCTCACGACATCAACGAAAAGCAACCAGCAGACCGATTTGAGTATTACGAATAAACAAAAGCCCAAACAAACAAACCAATAAACAACCAAGCAAACAAAGCCAGAAATTTTTTCTACTTCCTTTGGTTGTATGTTGGGTGGGAGGTGATTTTGACGGATGATTGATTAGAAGGTCAACTTGAAGGTGACTCAACACGTGTCGGGTGGCGTGGAGTAAGTGGGTAGTATGTGGAGGAATTCAGGAAGTGGTGTGATGTCCTATTAAAATACACAATACAATTTCCCCCACAGCTCCAATGTATCAAAAAAAAAAAACTTCCCGACTCGAGATCTGTTAGGTTCAAGGTCACGAAAACCCAAAACACTGCTATGAAATTTCGTTGTCATGGTGACAACAATTGTTGGTGATCAACAAGCCGATTTCCACGATCTGGTCCAAGATGTCTTCATTGATGTCGCTCTAAAAATAGCAAGGTCGAGATCAAAGACGACAATTGTTCGCCATGAGCGTGCCTCTGTGCGGACTGAATGAACCACTCGGTGGAACCGTTTAATTATTCAGATTCCATGACTCTGAAGTTGCGTGACGGAGTAAAGGGCAGACGTCCTGTCGTAACAGTTACAAATGACGTCATTTCCCCAAGCTAATTATCTACTATGTGAACATCATTGAAGGCAATTGGGTGCTTCATTATCTGTGATCAAGCAATTAAATTGCAATTTTTTATTGGAGATATTATACTAGGTTATAACTTATGAATGATGCGTTTGACGTTTCACACTCGTTCATGAGAACGTCTTTGTTCATGAGAATGTCTCCCATACTATTAAATGGACTCCAGACAAGTATTAAGAATATACCACCTTTACAGTCTGTTAGACTAATTGTACATTTAATCACGAAATGTAACATGTTCCATATCAATTTCGTACAAAAGACTACAGAAATAATCATTTTTACGGTACCAATGGTGTCAATTCACATTTTACAGCTAGCCACATGATTGTCTAACAAATCTTTTCAGTCTGCATTTATAGATTACCTTTTAGTCACAGATACATACAAGTTTTACAGTCCATTTGAATTGACTGACCTCTGCTAGTTTTTACACCCACCAAATAACAATAAGAACTGACAATAGCGAACAACAAGATGGATTACTGTTACTCTGCGAATATCACAGCGCATCGGAAATATGCCATGATCCACGTTGTCTTCGTGTTTTCATGTGTTATCTATTACTTGAGATGTGTATGTCAGGGTAGAGACTAGGATCTGGTCGAATCAAACGTGGATAACCAAAAGGTACGTCTTCGTGTAATAGCTGTACATTGACCTGCTAATTAACTCAAATCAAGCTATTATATAGAATATATAGAATATCTAATGTCCTTGCTCAAATGTACTTTGACGTGGCGTCGGTGGCGCAACGGTTAGAGCGTTGGACTCGGAACCGAGAGGTCCTGTGTTCGATGCTCACCGTGGCCCGACGTTGTGCCCTTGGGAAAGACACTTTACACGACTTCCCCACCTATACGGTGGAGTGACACCACCGAGCCTCTTAGGCTAATGGCTAATCTGTCTGTCTGGGTGCTAAACACCTTACAAATTCGGTGCGCCGATGTGACAACATCTGCACATTGGCCACTGAGAGCCGTTATTATAACTTAAATGTACTTTCACGCCCGTATTTGTGATAATCTAAGGGATGGAGAGTTTCCGTTCCATGACAGGAGGCACCTCTCCGGGAAGTGTGCTCAAATGCTTACTCAGCATCATTCGGTCTTTCGTCGACTTTTTCTTTGACAGCTTCCTCTCACTTTTCTCTTTCTTTGATTCCCTTCTCTTCTCCTTCACCGACTCCTTCCTATCCACATTTCCTTTGTCTGAATCTTTATTAGCGTCCCCCTTGTCCTTCTTCGACCCCTTTCTCTCCTGTTTGTCTTTGATTGACGCCTTTTTGTCGCCCTTTTCCTTCTTGGACGACTTGTTTCTCTTCTTCCCGAACGTTACCTTCCCGATGTGTGACACGACAGACCAGTTGGACTGCTTCCGCTTGGTGTTCGCCGTGACGGTTGGCGTGTCCGAACGGGATTCCGCCTCTTTTTCCGACAGCGTCATGGAAACGGTGCGGTCGGTGGCGTCGTGGTCTCCATCCGTGGGCGACTTGTTCCTCCTAGTCAACTTCATGCTCATCCTCTTCAGCCACGGGACCCCGGAGTCGGCTGACTTTTTCCTGCGTCTTGGTGTCTTCCCACCGGGCCTGATGAATGTAAAAGGCAAATTCTTGAATCAATATAAGCCCTGTTGAGGCTCATAAAAGTTACGAAAACAACAACAATAGCAGAGTTCTTTTTTCCCAACTACTTTAAGAAAACCCGACGTTTCGATGACCGTCTGTCATCTTTATCAGGGAGATATGAATATGACAGGTTCACAGTGCACTGAAGCTGCACTGAATCCAGTGCACAGTGAACGAGTAACACATGGCTTCAGTGCACAGTGAACCAGTCATATAATTGCCCTGATGAAGATGACAGACGGACATCAATACGTCTACTCTTGTTAAACAACTGGTTGGGAAAAGGGAACTTTACTATCTAATACTTTTGTTACCTTCGCCAAGAATTGACGAAGGTTATGTTTTCCTGGCCGTGTGTCTGTGTGTCTGTGTGTCTGTCTGTCTGTCAACAGCATAACTCGAGAAAGCTTAGATGGATTATCTTGATATTTGGTAGGTGGGTAGGTCTTGTTGGTTATCAAATGTTTGAAAAAAGACGGAATTGGTAGACAACAATGCACACTAACTGTGTCCCCGGTATACAGCTTGTATACATGTTCAGTGTTTGAATGGTTCGAATGGATGTATGCCATCTATCACGAGCGACATCTGGCGGACTCTTCTGTAATTACCTACCTCCAATAGTGCCGTTTGGCCTTAAACCTAACTGCAAGCCAACATGTACTCAATGTTTCGGTACCGATAGCTTTAGATCAGTGAGACCAAATGTATCTCACGTCCATAAGAGGTGGATGATCTTTAAGATGATGATGAGGCAGACTATAAAGACTAAGACAGCCGTGGTGATGATGATCCCGGCTCCTGTCATCTTCATGGGGTAGACTGTCTGCATGCCAAAGGCGTAGTTGTTATCACCTGTGTGTTAGCAAAGGCAACATGAGAAGGATGACTGTTTAAAGTTAAAACTTTTGGTCCAACGCAATTCTCTCACCTAGATCTTTCGACCAGCTGCACTGGGTCAGTCTACTGAGAAAGACCAGAGTGACAGGTTGAAAGCTCTAGGTGAGAGAATTGTTTGTGTAACTACCAAAACAGATGAACTTTCATGATAGAAGGATGACTTTATGATAATTCCACTATTGCAACTCTACCGTGATTTGTTTTAATTTAATTTCAGATATTTGTTATAATGTAGACTGGATCCATGGATTAGGTTTTTCTTTCTCATTGTCCTTTCTTTATGTTATGCGTTAATGTGTATCGATGTGAAATGGAATAACAAAATTAGAAAAAAACATGTGAAAGATACCTAAGTAAGTTTTACAATAGTCTTTATTGAACAACAATCACTGAACGGAAAGTTGGATATACCAATGGTGGTAAATGGAAGTATAGTTTGGTAATGTTTAGTTTGTAAACAGAACCGGAATTATCTAGATTAATAGATCTATTACAGCAACACCTGTGCTGGCTGTACAATGTGAACCAGTCAGAATTGACCTGAGGAAGGTGACAGACGGTCACCTTATAAAAACAGTCACTTTATTCAACAAAGGAATGGATGCCCAACGCTGGATTATATCAAAATGAACTAAAGCTAGCTTGATTTAAATTTGCTACAGCAACACGTGTCTGTATTCTATATTCGGTAACATTTCTAATGTTACTTTTGGCCACATTGCAGCCAGAGGACAGTACTATAACGTAGATTCGTCTACCATTAACTGTAATGTCACTGCATTTCTTTCGATAATGCATAAAAATGAAACGCCTTAACCTACACGAGTGCTATGAGAAGTATGAGGCAATATTGTATGATTACCTGTTGAGTTTTTCGATGAGGGCGGTTTGACCGTCGTGGACGCCATGTTCACTCCGGTCTTCTAGATCAAGAAGCTGATGTACAGATGACCTCTAGAACACGCTGATACAAGAACGCGCTGTCCAGATGACGCTTATACACTCTGCTGTACTGTTTCGTCTTCTCGGAATCCTGTTTGTATTTTACAGCTGGAGCGCTTGGTCCACGAGACTGTCTTCGTGATGTTCATTAATATGCCACCTTGATTAAATATGATACGATAAATACGATATGCACCAATAGTTTTGCCGTTAGGTTATACAACCTCAAAAACGCACCATGGAACTTCATACGCGATCTACTAATCTATTTGGGACTCAAGGAGGCTTCTTCACCATAGAATATCGTCCTGGCATAGTAACATTCCTACAGTATCTATAAAGAGAGATACGAATCTTCCATGTCACATGCGTTCAGAAACCATTTCTAATTGTTTACAAAGTGCAGGTGCTCTTCAGGGAATGGTGGGATATTGACTTTTCGTGTTGGGACCGCCATTGTTGGGACACTCTGTACATAATTCATTGCCGGCATCTGATCTCTTTATAGAAGTGGTGCTTCTATCTAAAAACGGAAGGAAGGTCATCAAACATTGAATGAGGTACTTAGACGTTTACAAGAGTCCAGAGTGCGTCAGCGAGGAAAATATTTACGTTATCACCATGGTAACACGTTATCATCACTATGGTAACACGTTACCATGGTAGCAATAACGCACGACAGTCACCTGACTGTCCGTGTACCATGGTTAACAGAAATTCTCAAGGACCAAAAACGCTTGGATTACTACATACTTAAGGTGTCATCCCTGGCTAATTTGGCATTTTAGGTTTCCATCGTTTTCTCACAAAGAAATTTAGAAAGAACTGTAGTTGTATTGAATATTGATACCTGGGTACAAAAGGGTTATGAATATGATTTTATGGACCATATGGATGACATCATCACATTTTATTGCCCCAAATGTAATTATCTTTTAAGGTATAATATAGCACTTTGGTACAAGTAACTGAAATAAAAATATGATTTTCATGTGCAGAATGGTCAAAGCTACAAACGTACGTTTGCGCAAATTGATATCTACTAATTACCCGTAGTTATTAGAGAATAACTAGATTTTAATTAGGCAATTAGGTTATTCTCTAATAACTACGGATAATTAGTAGATATCAATTTGTGCAAACGTACGTTTGTAGCTTTGACCATTCTGCACATGAAAATCATACTTTTATTTCAGTTACTTGTACCAAAGTGCTATATTATAACTTTAAAGATAATTACATTTGGGGCAATAAAATGTGATGACATCATCCATATGGTCCATAAAATCATATTCATTACCCTTTTGTACCCAGGTATCAATATTCAGTACAACTACAGTTCTTTCTAAATTTCTGTGTGAGAAAACGATGGAAAGCTAAAATGCCAAATTAGCCAGGGAGGACACCTTAATGAAAACATCAATCTGATTCCGTTATCAACCTTGGCCTTGTCATCCATTATCTACTTGCTATCTATCTATATGGCATACTATAGCATAGCAAAGTATATACTATACAGGGAGATGAGGTTAATTGGTGTACTTGGTTTCTTTTAGTCCTTGTCAACCAATACGATTAAATTCTATTAATGATGTTTGTTTGTTTGAACAATTGCTAATTCATGACAAGCTAAAATCAACCTACAGCCCGCTTTTCATTGATGGCATGAGGGAAGGGCCAGACAAAATAAATAAAAAATGCCTTGATATAGATACATATATAAGTATGACACATGAAATCAGCAATACAAGTCATTTTGAATCATAAAATACCTCTCTTTATTCAAGCATCTTCACTTTCCCTCCTCAAAAACAACTCTAGAAATACAATACATTACAGATCATTATTCTTCACTGTACATCTTACCTTTAGTAACTCTTATTTCCTGTCTGAATCACTGTTACAGCCCGCCAGGCCTTAGTGTGGATGTGTATAAAAGTGTGAAACCAGCTGCCCTGCTATACAAAATCCCACAAAACTTATCGGGATATTGTCCATGAAAGGCGGTACATTGTATAATCGACGTCATTACCAGGCTTCGGGAGCGGCAAACTGTTTTCTCTAGCTATGTATATAGCCGACCAAACTCCCTTGGCATGCTGTCTCTCTATTTGGCCGATTTCTACTCTTTCCAGCCGCCTCCCGAAGCCTGGTAGAGGCTAGTCATTATTTGTAATTACTCGATGGTTATTGTTTGTACATTCCATTACCATACCACTCTCTTCGCACTTTCAATATAATTGAATAACCTTGGATGATAATAAAACTGCCCTGACCTACATGTACGGTGCTAATTCGTTGCATTTGATCAAAATAAGTCAATTCATTCTGTGAGGCATTGTGGGTAAATCAACGACCAAGGCCCAGGTCAGGGACCTTTTACTCTGACATTCACCCATAATGCACCATACTGCACATGCGCATTGGCTCATTGCCTGTGAGACTAAATCATACTCGACTTACTGTCATAAAAAGCACAGAGAGGAAAAAATAACGTTCTCCTAATTCAACAAGGTTCATATCTTTAGAGGTAGAAACCTACGAACGAGTCTTGTCAATTTGATCTAAGCCCTGTCTTCCAAGGCAATGGTCATCAAATAAGCTTCTCTCAAATCCAAGTTCAGTCAATTTCAATACATACTGCCGACCAAGTCATATATACATATCTTAACTTTTCATAGCATACTTTTCCTTCACTTGGGCTATATATTAGTTCACAGATTCATATTCTCGTGATAACCTTTCTTAGTTGAACAGGATATGACACTACGGCAAAATTTTGGCATTTTCATTTCTCTCCCATGGATACAATACAAAACCATTTACAATATACAATTAAAAAACATGTCATACCACAAGCTTAAGGTAGCCATAATGATGAGACATAATTAACGTTTTACGTGAATAAAGCATAAAGCATATGTACAAATAAATTCAATTGATGTTTCCTTCCTTTTCCTTTTTAACTTCAATTGCTGCAAACTAAAAACTCCGATGCACGGCATCTACCGTAATGCGGTATAAGCAAAGCTATACAGAACCTCTCAAATTATTAATTATTCTGTAATACATATATAACAAGAAAATCACGTAATGCAGTATGTAGATGCAATCCACCACACGCCCAAGTAAAAGCATCATTGACATATATCATTTGTCAATAAATACAATACAAAATACAAGTAATAAGGCGTCATTAGCACAGAATGCAATCATACTTTATAGAATTGAAATTCAATTTTTTCTTTCTTTCTCAATCATACATCAATTGTACATAAAAGCCATTTCGGTTGTTCAAAAAAAGTGCTATACAATAAAAAATAAAAGGAAATAAGCTGATTAGTTTACTCATATGAGCGAATATGTGCAAAACCTGCCTTTCTGATGCAAATTATCTTCCATTTATGGATTCACAAAATTAAAAAGTCTTAAGTCATACAATTCTCAAAAACTTGACCCCCTCCATACAAACAGAACCACTGGACCATAGTGTTGCGATATGATACTAAGTTCCTTGCTGTTGTCCACTTTCCTGACCATTGTTCACCATACAGGCTATGTGGCCCTGGAACCCCGGACGGGTTACGCCATGGAGTCGTGGGTGTTCTGGTTGTTGGGAGGGGGGTTGGCTGGTGGTTGTGGCGGCGGCGGCTGCTGCGGTGGTGGTGGAGCCGCCCCGCCTCCCCCTCCCCCTATCCCAGCATTGATTTGGTTTGGTCTGTGGAGCGGGAAAGAATGTAAAACTTAAGTCGGTGAACAAACACCACATATTGAACAATCGGCATCAGCTTTGTTCTGCATTATGCATGTTTTATCAATATATACATGTTGAGGAGAGCCACACATCATGATCATCAAGCACATCAAAGAACCCACCATACTTGATTTTTAATATAGAAAGGAGTAGAGGTCCTTCCCAATATTATTGGATCAAACGTTACAGTCCGAGGGCCTCACCTGGGGCAGTCGTATTGAGGTCACTAGAACGCTGAAAGCCTGCCATTTCAACCCTTGCTACATAATTTTGCCCCGTCAATTGAATTGTAAGCTCCTCGCAATTCAGCCATTGGCTGCAAAGAGAGAGCAGTCGGCCCACCCAATAAATGGAAATAATAGCTCTCATTTTGTATATTGCTTTTTGATATTGCTGATTCTTTAGCCTTGATTAAGTCTTTCATGCTATCGAAAGACAGAAAACTTAAGACATGGCGCAAAACTCTTCGACCTGTAACAAAAACATAACATAACCGGTGGACTGTTAGTAAATCTTACCTCTTTAACACGAAGGCAGCTGTGATGACCACCCCGGTCACTCCCAAAATGGCGCCGATCACTGAGAGCGCGACCACCCAACCTTTCACCTTGCCTTGCGGGAATGTCTTCCAAAACGGCTCTGGACAAGATAAAGGGACAAAACGTGTTGGATGGCACGCCGTATGGCCGAGGTGTTCAAATATGAGAAGTTTGGGCTAAGAGCCGTTCAACGTTAAACACACAAAACCAAGGCACATGGTAGCTGTAGACACGTAGCTACTTAACGAATTTGCGAATGATGCTTTTGAAATAGAGATGTTCATGATAGAGGAAAGGTAACTATTACATCATACTCAAAGGTGATGACCTTATGCAAGAAAAGCAATCACGTCACGTCACTACATTGTTAAAAACATCAATGAACGTACTTTTAGTCGATGTCGGTGTTGTATTTGACATGTTCGACATCGTTGTGTTTTCTGGCGATGTTGGTGACGGTGTTGAAGTTGACACATTCATCATTGTTGTATTTTCTGTCGACGCTGAGACCTGTGCAGTCGTTGAGAGGATGCGAGTCAAGGTCGACGACGTTGATGTTGATGGTGTTGGACCTGTCTGTGTCATCTGCGAAGTGGTAGAGATTGTAGCTGATGCCAAGGGCGTTGGAGCCATGGTAGAGGGTCTAGCTGATGCCGATGGCGTTGGACCTGTCACCATCTGAGTAGTGGTAGTGGCTGCAGCTGATGCTGAATGCCTGGGACTTGTGGCCACCTGTGAAGTAGTAGAGGGTGTAGCTGATGCTGATGGCGTGGGACCTGTGGTCATCTGTGAAGCGGTAGAGGTTGTCGCTGATGCCGAAGGTGTTGGACCTGTCTGTGTCATCTGTGAGGCAGTAGAGGATCTAGATGATGCTGATGGTGTTGGACTTGTGATCATCTGTGAAGCGCTAGATGTTGTAGCTGACGCTGATGGAGTTGGACCGGAGGGTAAAGTCGATTCCAACGTCGTTGGACCAGATGTTGAGATTTGAGCCGCTCGAGGTGACTGGCTGGGTGTGGATGATACCATCGACGGAGTGCTAGACATTCCTGGCATTGATGTTGAACTCTGGGCTGATGAGGTTGACATTGGTGCGTCAGGGTTGTTGTTTCCATACTTGAGGTACTGTACGGTAACACAGGTCTTGAAGGTGTCGGACTTGACCGTGGGGCGGCTGGAGTCGTGGTGGCAGCTTCTGACACAGTCGTGTCTGTCGCTTCATAGACAGTAGTGACGACGTCAGATTGAGCAGTTGTTGGCAGGTCTGGAGGCGCCGTTAGTTTGTGACGTGTCGACGAAAGCAGGCTGCTGTAGATCTTCTGAAGTGTGGTGGGGAGCAGTGCCGTTGTTTCTGTGGCCATAGCGTCAACAGCAGAAGTGGTCACGGTCGTTGCGGGTTTTGTCGAAGTGGTTTCATCAAGCATCATCGTTTGGATTGAAGATTTAGACGTAGTTGGTGACAGCTTTGCAGTACTTTGCTCTGTTGTAGCCTTCTGTCCCGTTGTTATGGGTCCAGTGACTGTAGGCTGTTCAGTAGTGGCCGCTGTGGTGGAGAGTGATGACAGCATTTCTTCTGTGGTAGGAGATTTCATCATGGTCGAAACCGGTGGATTGGTTGTTGGAGCCATTTCTGTGGAGTACACTGAGGTGGTCTTCACATTAGATGGCGTTTCCTCCGTCGTTTGCTGCTTTGGTACAGCAGATGTCGATGTGAGCTGTTCGGGGGTGGCCGTAGTTGGTCCAGTACTAGATCCCGCCGTAGTTGCTCTCTCGAGGGTGAGGATGGCGGTACTGGTCTGGACGTTTGTGATGAGGGCCGTTGTTTGAGGTTCTGCTGTAGTCGAGGGCGAACCAGTCGTTTCTGCCGCACCCGATGTAGTCGAAGGTTTCATCGAAGGCGTCGTAGTCTGCTGATTTTCGGTACTGAAGCCAGATGTTGTCGTAACCGGCATTGTTGTTACAGACCCTGCACTTTCAGTGGTCATCATCTCGTCGGTTGTAATTGGAGGCTGCGGACTGAGCGCTGCCGTGGTCACGTCGCCTGGGATTTCAGTCGTAGCTCCATCCTTTCCCAAAGTTGTCGTTCTCAATTCTTCAGTAGTACGGGTTGTCGTTGAATACTCTGCAGTTGTAGCCGTTGTTGGGTTTGTGGTTGGTTCCATGGTAGTCAGCTGCGGTGAAGACCTCGTCGGGGAGGACTCAGTCGAAGGTGGGCTTGTTGGTTGGTTTGATGTGGTGTCTGCTGTTGTCTGATCCGTGGTAGTTTCTGCCGCAGCAGGACTTGTGGTCGATGGGTTTGTCGTGGCATCCATTGTGGATGGTTTAGGCGTAAACGTCGTTGTTTCGTGTCCCGAGGTTTGCTGAGATGTTGGTCCTGTAGTCGGAGACTCAGTCGGAGGCTGACCTGTTGTCTGCTTTGATGTGACGTCGGTCGTTGGTTGATCGGTTGTGATCTGCTTTGCCGCGGTACTCAATATGTTCCTGGTGGTATCTCCTGTGGACGCTCCTACAGTGGACGTCATCGGTTCTTCTGATGTGGCTTCTCCTGCAGCAGTAGTTGTGGCCAGCGGGTTCCTGGTGGTATCCACAGAAGTTTCTTCTGTAGTGTACGCCATTGTCGAGGGCCCCAAAGTAGCCGGCGCCGTGGTCTTTGCTGTGGTCAGGGACGAACTAGTGGTCGGAGCTTCCGTGATGTTGGGAACTGTCGTCATTGGTGCTCCGGTGGACGGAGCCAGCCCTGTGGTGGTGGGACTCACTGTAGTTCCACATCTGACTGATCCTGAAGGGAAGGCATATTTTATGATAAGAGATTAACGTGGTCTGACAACTGAACCTAGGAGTTGACTGTAGCGCTGGTGTCACCATGGTTGTTGATTACACTAAACGCATATTGTATTCTATGGCAAAGAGGTGTATATTTCGTATGTTATACATACATACAATAACCCCAAGAGGCTTTGAAGTTATTTCAGATTATGTTGATGCACTCTTTATATCTATCATAAGATCATAGGCTAACGTTCATTTCTCAAATTGAGAATTGTGCTTAGCCCTGAGAGTGTCTCAGAAATTCTAAAACCACAAAATTTCTGTTTTCATTTTGAGGACCTCTGGCAATACAATTGTACCATCCATTAGCTAATCTACCACTCATTTCAGACAAATACACAGGGTAACCATATGTTTTCGACTGTTAGAGAGGAATAGGATTATAATCTTGTACAACTTGTACTAATGTTCATAAATATAGAGGAATATGCACTGGCTAGGGCCATAGCGCCATAGACTGAGTTCTGCCACAGAGGAAAAATGTGAGACAAAATACTAGTGTTGTAGACAATTAGAATTAAACTACTCTGATTATACCTTGATTATAGTTTGTTTCTGTTGCTGATAAAGTGTCCTGCGTTGGACATAAAGTTGTGAAAGTTCCAGTTGATGGCTCCGATGGCAGAGAGGTTGTTGTGACTGTTGATTGTTGCATTACCACTGCTGTTGACAGTGCAGTAGTGACTGCTGTAGTTGAATATTCAGCTGTGGTTGCACCTACAGTTACCGCCATAGTTGATGACTCTGCCATTATCGTTGTAGTTGGTGGTGCAGTTGTTATCTGTACTGTTGAAGATTCCTGTATCAGATCTGTACTTGGTGGTACAGTTGTGGTTGCTACAGTTGATGACTCTGGTATTACCATTGTAGTCGGTGGTACTGTCGTGACTACTTCAGTTGATGTAGTTGGCCATACAGTCGTGACCTCCACAGTTGATGACTCAGGTAGTACCGCTGTAGTTGGTGGTACAGTCGTGAGTGCTGCAGTTGACGACTCTGGTATTGCCTCTGTAGTTGTGACTGCTACAGATGTAGGCTCTGTAGTTGGTGATCCAGTTGTGACTGCTACAGATGTAGGCTCTGTAGTTGGTGGTCCAGTTGTGGCTGCTACAGATGTATGATCTGTAGTTGGTGGTCCAGTTGTGGCTGCTACAGACGTTTGGCTCTGTAGTTGGTAGTCCAGTTGTGGCTGCTAGAGACGTTTGCTCTGTAGTTGGCGGTCCAGTTGTGGCTGCTTCAGATGTAGGCCCTGTAGTTGGTAGTCCAGTTGTGGTGGCTACAGACGTTGGCTCTGTAGTTGGTAGTCCAGTTGTAGTGGATACAGATGTAGGCTCTGTAGTTGGTGATCCAGTTGTGGCTGCTACAGATGTTACCTCTGTAGTTGGTGGTCCAGTTGTGGCTGCTACAGATGTAGGATCTGTAGTTTTTGGTCCAGTTGTGGTGGCTACAGATGTAGGCTCTGTAGTTGATGGTACAGTTGTGTCTGCTACAGATGTAGGATCTGTAGTTGGTACTCCAGTTGTGGCTGCTACAGATGTAGGCTCTGTAGTTGGTACTCCAGTAGTTTGAGACACTGTCGTGACCTCTGTAGTTGGCGGTACAGTCGTAAAGCCGACAGTTGATGCTCCCTCTGTTACCTCTGTAGTTGGCGGTAAAGTTGTGACTGCTACAGTTGACGACCCTGACATTGTCTCTGTAGATTGAGGTACAGTTGTTACTGGTTCCGTGGTCGAAGGTGCAGTAGTGACTGCTACCGTTGATGACTCAGGTATTAAATCTGTAGTTGGTGGTCCACTTGTGACTACTACAAATGTTGACTCTGGTATTACGTCTGTAGTCAGCGGTACTGTCGTGGCTACTATAGTTAACAATTCGGATATTGTCTCTGTAGAGTGAGGCACAGTTGTCACTGGTACCGTTGATGATTCACGTATCATTTCTGTAGTCAATGGTACCGTCGTGTCGGCTATAGTTGATGACTCTGGTATTGCCTCTGTGGTTGATGTCTCTGGCATTACTTCTGTAGTCGGGGGTACAGTCGTGGCTACTACAGTTGACGATGCCAAAATTGTCTCTGTAGATAAAGGCACAGTTGTCACTGGTACTGTCGATGATTCATCTGCCATTTCTGTGGTCAGTGGTGCTGTCGTATCCGGAAAAGTTGATGACTCAGGTAGTATCTCTGTAGTCGGTGGTACAGTCGTGTCCGGTACCGTTGATGACCTTGGTAGTACCTCTGTAGTTGGTGGTTTAGTCGTTACGGCTATAGTTGATGATCCTGATAGTACCTCTGTAGTCGGTACAGTCGTGACTTGTACTGTTGATACCTCTGTGGTTGGTGATACAGTCGTTCCTGGTATTGTTGATGACTCTCGTATTACCTCTGTAGTCTGTGGTACAGTCGTCACCTCCACAGTTGACGACTCAGATAGTACCTCTGTAGTTGGTGATTCAGTCGTCACGGCTACAGTTGATGACTCTGATATTACTTCTGTAGTTGGTAGTGCTACTACAGTTGATTCTAAAATTGTCTCTGTAGATTGAGGCACAGTAGTTGTTACTGGAACTGTTGATGATTCTGGTAGCATCTCTGCTGCAGTTGATGACTCTGTGGTCGATGGTACTGCCGTAATTACTACAGTGGACGTTTCCGACCTTGTCTCAGTAGATTGAGGCACAGTTGTCAATGGTACCGTCGATGATTCATGTACCATTTCTGTGGTCGGTGGTGCTGTCGTGTCCGGTACCGTCGATGACCCCTGCATTACCTCTGTAGTCGGTAGTAAAGTTGACGAGGCTAATATTGTCTCTGGAGATTGAGGCACAGCTGTTGATGATAGTACCTCTGTAGTCAGTGGGACAGTCGTGTCCGGTACCGTTGATGATTCTCGCAATGCTTCTGTAGTCGGGGGCAGAGTCGTGAGTGCTATAGTTGATGACTCTGGTACAACCTTTGTAGTCGGCACTTCAGTCGTGATGGCTACTGTTGATGACTCTGGCATGTCCCATGTAGATGAAGGTACAGTCGTGGCTACCACAGTTGATGACCCTGGTAGTACCTCTGTGGATGGTAGTACAGTCGTGATCACTATCGTTGATGATTCTGATCTTTCTCTTGTAGTCGGTGGGTCAGTTGTGACTGCTACAAATGTTGACGCTGGTATACCTTCTGTAGTTGATATCTCTGGAGTCACCTCTGTAGTCGGTGGTACAGTTGTGTATGGTGCCGTTGATGGCTCTGGTTGTACCATTGTAGTTGATGGTACAGTCGTGACTGCCACAGTTGATGACTTTGGTATTACCCATGTAGTTGGTGATTCAGTAGTCACGGCTATAGTTGATAATCCCGGTAGTACCTCTGTAGTTGGTTGTACAGTCGTCGCGGCTATGGTTGATGTCTTAGGTAGTACCGTCGTCGCGGCTATGGTTGATGTCTTAGGTAGTACTACTGTAGTTGGTGGTAAAGTCGTCGTGACTGGTACGGTTGATGACTCCAATGTTACCTCAGCTGTTGATGGCAAAGTCGTGTCCGGTACGGTTGATGACTCTGGTAATACCTTAGTAGTTGATGGTACAGATGATGACTCTGTAGTCGGTGGTATAGTGGTGACTGCCACAGTTGATGTCTCTGGTATCACCATTGTAGTTGCTGATACCGTGGTGCCCTGTACCGTTGATGACTCCTGTACCAATCCTGTAGTCGGCAGTACAGTCGTGATTGCTATAGCTGATGACTCTTGTATTATTAACTCTGTCGTAGGTGGTACAGTCGTGAATGCAACAGTCGATGATTCTGCTATCACCCTTGTAGTTTCTGGTACAGTCGTGTCTGGTGCCGTTGATGACACTGGTAATACCTCTGTAGTTGCTGGTGCAGTCGTGACTGGTACCGTTGATGACTTTGGCTCCGTAGATTGAGGCACAGTCGTCACTGGTACCGTTGATGACTCTGGTAATGCTTCCGTAGATGGTGATTCGGTCGTGACTGTTGACGATTTCCATATCGTTGCAGTAGTCGGTGATTCAGTCGTGACCGCCACAGTTGATGACTCTGGTATTACCTCTGTAGTTGGTGGTACAGTTGTGGCTACTACGGATGTTGCCTCTGTGGTTGGTGGTACGGTCGTGAGTGTTGACGATTTCCATACCGTTCCAGTAGTCGGTGATTCAGTCGAGACCTCCACAGTTGACGACTCTTGTAGTGCCGCTGTAGTTGGCGGTACAGTCGTGACCTCCACAGTTGATGATTCTTGCATTACCCCTGTAGTGGGTGGTACAGTTGTGACTGCTACAGATATTGACTCTGTATTTGGTGGTTCGGTCGTGATTGTTGAGGTAGTCGGGGATACAGTTGTGACTACTACAGTTGTCGACTCCGTAGGTGGTGGTACGGTCGTGATCTCCACAGTTGATGACTCAGGTAGTGCCACTGTAGTTAGCGTTGCAGTCGTGGTTGCTGCAGATGTTGAGTCCGTGGTTGGCGGGTACTGTTGTGACTACTGCTGTTGATGATTCTGAAATTGTCTCTGTAGACTGAGGCACAATCGTGTCTGGTATAGTTGATGATTCAGGTAGTGCCTCTGTAGTCGGTGATACAGTCGTGACTACCACAGTTGACGACTCTGAGAGTACTTCTGTAGTTGACACTACAGTAGTACCCACTACCGTTGGTAATACCCCTGTAGTTGATGGTACAGTCGTATCCGGCACCGTTGATGATGGTAATACCTCTGTAGTTGCTGGTACTGTCGTGACTGCCACAGTTGACGCTTCTGACATTGTCTCTGTAGATTGAGGCACATTTGTCACTGGTACCGTTGATGATTCCGGTGGCATTTCTGTGGTCGATGTTACAGTCGTGTCCGGTACCTCTGTAGTCGGTATTTCAGTCGTGAATGCCGTTGATGATTCTGTTAATAACCTTGTAGATGGTAGTACAGTTGTGACTAGTACCGTTGATGACTCTGGTAGTACATCTGTAGTTTGAGGCATTGTCGTGACTGGTACGGTTGATGACTCTGGTAGTACCTCTGTAGTCGGTAGTTCAGTCGTGAGCACAACAGTCGATGACTCTGGTAATAACTTTGTAGTCAATGGTACAGTCGTGATTGGTACCGTCGATGATCCTGGTAGAATCTCTGTAGTCGGTATTTCAGTCGTGAATGCCGTTGATGATTCTGTTATTAACCTTGTGGATGGTAGCACAGTCGTGACTGATACGGTTGATGACTCTGGTAGTACATCTGTAGTCGGTGTTTGAGACGTGGATGCCACAGCAGATGATACTGTTAGTACCTCTGAAGTTGGTGATTCAGTCGTGACTGGTACCGTCGATGACTCTGGTACCTCTGTAGATGATGGTACAGTCGTGACTGGCACCGTTGATGACTCTGGTAATAACCTTGTAGTTGATGGTACAGTTGTGACTGGTACCGTTGAGGAGTCTGGTAGTACTACTGTAGTTGGTTGTTCAGTAATTAATGCCGTTGATGATTCTGGTAATAACGTTGTAGTTGATAGTACCGTCGTGACTGGTACCGTAGATGGCAGTACATGTGTAGTGGGTGGTACAGTTGTAAGTGATGCGGATGATGAATATTGTACCTTTGTACTTAGTGATTCAGTTGTGAGTGTCGTGTTGTTTGTAGTGGATGCCGTTGTTGCCTCTGTAGTCCTTGTTAAAGTGGTGACAGCTTGTGTAGATGGGGTTGTTGTGAGAGGTAGGGTTGTAGATTCTATACTTGTGTCTGATGTTGCTGCTCCTGTCAAGGATAAAGTAGTAAGAGTTATGTCGTTGTTTGTAGTTGAAGATGCTGTTGTTGTTGCCTCTATAGTCCTTGTTAGAGTGGTGACTGCTTCTGTTGGTGACGTTGTTGTGACACCCGTTGTGGGAGATATTGCTGTGGTTTCTGTACTTGAACCTGATGTTGCTGCTGCGGTCGATGTTAACGTAGTAAGAATTGTTGCTGATGATTTTGTAGTAAACCTCTCTGCCGTTGTGCCCCGTACTGGTGATGATTCTCGTATTATTGTGGTAATTTTTCTTCTGGATGATCCTGGGGATTTTCACGAGTACTCGGTCTGTACAGTCGTTGGTGCTGTGAATAAGGAACCTGAGGTTGACTGCGTTGCTGCGGCTGCTATAGTAGATGGTTCTACGGTAACTTTTGTCGTTTCTGCATCTTTCGTGGTTTGTGTATCCTCGGTGCTTAGTTCTGCTTTCAACGTTGTCGATGCGTCTAGTGTAGCGACAGTTGTAGGGAAATCTGCGCTTGTTAACTGAGTAGTTTGCACGGATGTGATCGTCCGGGGTTTTGTGGAAGTAGCTTCACTGTACGGGAGTTGTGTTGATGTGGTGGGGTATCCTGGAGTTGTGCACCGCACGGATCCTTGAAAAACACAGTCACAGTTACCGGATGCGCTAGTTGGGTGTTAGGTAGGGGTTTGGGGAAACGACTACGCTATTCTGTACATGCCATATATGATTTAAACTTGTCAGCAAAAATCTATGTTGTTATCTGGGACTCAGAGGAACTACGTCGCTCGTAAGGTTAAATTAAGATACTTTAGGGTATAAAGGCTAGATGGGTCTTCTAGGGGTTAAAACGGGTGAGGTGTAAGGTTTTACAATGGGTGTTGTTTAGGGTATATCGGGGGCAGCGAAAGAAATAAACATCATATTGAGAACCCATGGCATTTGATGGTTCAGATCATTTATGTCGATACAACCTGATAGTGGTGTCCTAGGACATATTTGAGATAGCAGTGCATGGGTTCCGTAAAATTAATATGTCGTGTTACAGAACAGAGGCTTTTTATATCTTTGTTAGCGGCTGGTTCCGTTGTCTTCTTGAAAATCAAAATCCTACGATGGCCTGCGACGAATGTGACCGCACTGGTAACATTTCAAACGACTATGGAACAACCTGGCATTGAGGCAACTGCCAATGAAATCCCGATTGACCTTTTCATCCCTGTACAGCTCTATAAGCGAAGCAATTCTCCATGCAGAGTTCCCCAAGGCCACTCCAGGGTTCATAAGTGCAATGGCTCGAGGTTACACCGGCAGCAGACAGCCCAATCAATGGAGGTCGTTACCGACAACGACAGTTTCCTGCCACGAAGTGTCCCGGTGGAGGGCTGGGAATGAAATGTGCCGGTATCCACCGGAAACGCATGAGGGTTGTTCCACTCTTCTGTTTGCCAAATCACATCATTTCAGACAATTTCAATCGCAATAGATCTGCACTTACGTGTACTGTGTATTCTTTAGCGGCTGTTTTTTAGTCGCGAATGTTGATAGATTGAGCTCTGGTTCGGGCCGGTATACGGTGTGGCAATCGTTTCTTGTCAGGCCAATCGGACCTAATTATATGGATGACATCCGCGCGCGCTTCAATTTTTATCCGTTTCCAAAAAAGGTTTCCGACCAAGAAAAAAATGGTACCGAAATGTTCGCAGGGCTCGACGGTGTGAATGAACAAAAAAGAGAGAATTATTTGCTTGGTACACCATACAGCATACCCTGTGTGTTCAGTCAACGTCCATGACCACTTAGATTTCATAATGGATTGAACGTCTTTTTTCGTCACATTTTTTACTACGCCCGCATCAGTTTTGAGGTGCCCAGAAGATGCCATCTATATTACCGAATCAGTACGGCCTAATGTGCTCGAGGATAAGTGGCCTTGAGAGGGAAATTGTGTAGAAGGGGCCCGGGTATCAGAGACCGTTTAACCGCATTAACCTGGGCGTATTTATTACAGTTATTACTGCAACACAATAAGGTTACTCTATTTAGAGTACCAAATAAATCCATACCTTAGTACCCGTCCATATGGATAAACGTTCACTATTTCTGGGGTAACTGTACAAGTATTTGAAACGTAATATAGTCATACAAAAATAAGACAACAATGGGTTGTTTTTTTTCTCGTGAATTGTATTTAAAGCAAGTACAAAATTACAGCATGTGTAAATTAACACTGGATACAACTTAATATGAAATCCATCTCTTTTAAAAGAATTATTAAGTAGACACCAAATACATGTATGTAGAATTGAAAACAAAATACTGAGTTAGATACAATAAATTCAAAACTAGGGTTACATGGATGTATCTTGTAATAAGAGAATACGTTAACATAGTTTGACTTTCAACATTAATAAAGCAACGCTTGTTTTGCCATGTGGTTATAACATAAATTCTTTATCAGATATTTACGAGGTTTTTCAAGGTTCTTTTGAATTG